TGCGTGCGTGCGCGTTGGGGGGGGGGGGGTGGTAGCTAGGGATATGGGAATCTTCATGAAGTTTATGGAGTTAAAACATTCCCAGACCATCTATCAGAAGTCTCTTTATTACCTTTCCTTTAGTCATCATCTAGACGACTATATAGCAGGAGGTCTAAATAACCTGTATTCATTGTAGACATGTCCCCATTTGTTCCCTGAGCAATGATTCTTTTCACCAAGATACTACGTCAAGACACACTCTTTTTAGGCTCTATTGTGTCTGCAACCTTGTGCGCAGTGAGTCAAAAATTTCGCGTGTGATCAAGAAAGACACCTTTTCAGCAAAATATTGAAAATCGCTCCCTGCACTGACTGGGTTCATCTGGATGTTATTCGTTCACCCTTGGTACATATGAACTCAGTGTGAGTTTTAAGTGTCGTATTGTAACTTGAGTTTTATGTGTCGTATTGTAACTTGATCGACCTCCAAACCTGTTTACAACCAGTCGCTATTGACAATTTTAATATTCTGCGTGTCAAATTAAAGAAGATGGTCATGTAACTTGTACCAAGTTATGGTAACGTTTATTTCAGATACACGGAGCAAGGCAAACATACCGGTACACTCCTTTGGTGCACAAAAGATTTATTCTTAAATTCTCATTTTACGATCACAATTAAAGACTGTACTTTTAAATTTATCATGTCACGGTCCAATACCACAATATATCACGAAGATCCTCTGCTTCTTCCACTATCCATTCTAATCTTTACGTCAATCTATTAACAATCCTTTTTTTTGGTTACACGGTGCGAGATAAGTGTTCCTACACAATATCTATTATTATTCGTTTTTCCTTTCCTTAACCTACATAAACTGGATGATTCAGCAAAAATCACTTCTGTTTACTAGGTTAAAAAAGGCCGCAAATATTTGGCAGTAAAACGCGCATTTTTCGGGTGTCTACGGCTTCTTTATAAATTAAGGTCCAGTTGCACAAATCATAAGTATTTTAAAAAACGTTTCGTGACGTTTCACATTTTATTACGTATTGATTTCTTGACATCAGTTGATTGCGAGGCGCCTTATGCAAGGAAACAGTTTCATACATGTAAGTCGTGTTTATAGTTGGACTGACGAATATCCATAAAAAACAGATCCATGCTTTATTTAACTTGTTGACTCTTCCGTCTAATATACATCTACACTTGCTTGATGTCATTTTGTTTTAAGATTAAACTTTTTTATTTGACCAAGTCTAGAGGCGACTCAGATCGACTCAGACACAAGATTTAGAAACAAACATGGTTCTCAGATTAATAAATATTCTTTAATAATCTTTCTTGTGTGATCCCGTATAGACCGAGTGGATCACGGAGAGGACGGAGGACATTTGGCACTCCATACATACCATTACTATTCTCATGTAAATCCCCCCTGTACACAATGGCGGAATCCAGGGCTGAGCCCCGCCCGCACCTGCCCCTCCCATCCCTCCCGTAGTGATTATACATGTACCATCCCCACACCCCCCATCTCACCGTAAAATGTTTGCTCATTAACAGCAACTTGTTTCCTACATATCATAGAAGAAATACTGCCTATGGTTTGGCTCGTTTCGCAATCACTTCTATCCTCGTTCCCTCAGCGCCGATCCACAGGTGTAATACTTACATTAAGAAACGCTGGACTCCTTATTAATTCTACGGCAGAGTTGCCTCTCTTCAAAGACGATGGTGAAGTTATTTTCTCAAGACAAAAGCCTGGCAGCGGCAGAAATACCCACACCTTACCACGGTGTGTAGAGGTGATAAAGAGAGAGTGACCACGACCAGCTAGCCAAGCAGGCTTAGGAATTCATATGCATAGGGTTGCTATTGATAGTGTATGCACACGCCTGGATGATCAAATAAAGGCACTGTTGACATTAGGTTCACCACAGGCCTCCGATCCCTTGCCAAACTATAACACCTTTACAGGTAGTCTCATTTAATATCATTTTAGCGTAGATTTATCACGTTTGATTCACAGCTATAAGATTGCTCAGTGCCTTCGCTGGACAGAAAAAATGTGAAAATACCTGTCCAGGTGCCTGAGTTAGACAAAATGTGTGCTTTTCCTCCGGCCAGATTAAAAAAAAACATACATTAAGGATTAAAAAGATCAAGAACAATGTCAGACTACCTGTAGGTGGTATTTTCGTATCAAATTGAAGCAAAATTCATGTTTGATAACTACTACCTACCTTGTACGTTCTATGTCTAAAGCTGAACTGGGAATTCGTTACAATGAAAAGATCAATATAACAAACAACGCACGAGTGTTGACACAGGTACCGTGCGGCCCTGCCGAAGTTACACAATATCATCAGTGTCAAGAACTAGGTCGAGATGATGGGGTCATGGTTTGGGGGGATGGGGGAGCGCTGGAGGGCTATGGGAATAACAATAGGCTAGGTGGAGCCGATCCCGGTGTAACAGGAATGGAAGGAACCGTAGTCCGCTTCCCATTACTTTGTACAGGTGACATTCGTCCAATATATTAACCCCAATACTCCAACTAACCCTAACCTCTGTTAATCATATGGGTCCCTGACTTCCATTCCTAGGACTTCTATTCCTGTCACACCGTTACTCATAACTGGCAGGCTTCCAAATCCCAACACAGTTATATACATGCAATTAAGACTACTACTGTTGTTGTTGTCCATCTTCTTCTTCTATTTCTTCTTCTTCTTCTTAATTATCATTATAGAAAACTAAAATAAAATATAAAATATAAGTAGTTGCAATTCAAAACGATTAATTGGTCCTTTAATGCACCGTTATTTTATTTTTTACTGCACAAATATTTTCTAAGGGTTATATGTGAACGCTTTTTACTTAATTGACGTGCCTCGAATTCAATTACCAGTAAGCTCAAAGTTGGACACAAAGTAGCGGTACACAAATTGTTACATGCATCACCGCTATTTTTCTTCTTCCAGGTGATATGGTTTGTCGAATGAATAACGCAAGGTCCAGTCGTTGTTTTCTGACTATGAAACTATTTTATTCTGATGAAGACTTTTTTTGCAATATACAACGACGATATAATATCGGCTGCTAGAAAAACAGTGATGTTGTAACGTCTGATGCTCCGAACGGTATGTGTGTTGCGGTATCAACCCGCTCCCTTTTTATTCTATTCTGCCACTAAAGCCGAACAGCGGTCGTATTTTCCAGATGGTGCCCCGAAATATTCGGAGTATCCTCCAGCTGTAGCTTTCCCCAACCAAGAATGAAATAAAGATAAACATATGAAATGCTTATCCCGGATCTTTCCAGCCTCGATCCTTTAGCTATTAAGTGAGTTGATAAAAACAAACCATACACTTTTGATTGTTGTGTGTTGTCGATAAAAACTGACCCCTCGACTTATAGTCTAACGCATACATAAATAAAATCACTATGACACATGCACTACACTCAGCACTGTCTCCCCTGCCATTATGTAATGTCAAGAAGCCCGCTTTATTCATCCGTTTCGCTATACTTTGGTTATATTTTTTTACATCAATCTATCAGTGTATTCTGGATGGCGTTGCTCCGCCAGGTTGTAAGGGGATAAGCTGAATCTCTATGATACACACCTCTAGTCTGGCCGAAACGAATCATCACATTTTTGGGTTATCAATGTTAAGTACTTTAAAAAGAACTTAAAAAATTACGAATCTATGAATAAAAGAAATTCCAAGTTTAGATTTACCGCCTAGGGTACGAATAATCTTGTTTTATCCGATAATTGAAAAAGTCCAGTTTCACCTGCTACTCGTAGTACATGTACTTAGCAAACACACAACGTTTTATAACGTTACCATGAGGTTACCACAACGTTTTTTTTTATTGCTATAAGGATTCATGTTGATTCACCGTATAGATCTTGGTAATAATAGAAGTATAAATATTTAGATGCATCTAGAAAGATCTACATAATAGTTGTTGAATACAGTCCGAGCTTTCGGCCCCTGGGCCTTCTTCGGGGAATATGAACAAAAAGTAAAAAAACGTAAAAAAACAAACTCCATGGATACGTGACGTCGGTGATGTGTTGAAGACATGCGGTGGTCCAAATAGCCTTTTTCATCTTTTCCGGAAATGGAANCGTGCGCGTTGGGGGTGGGGGGTGGGGTGGGTGGTAGCTAGGGATATGGGAATCTTCATGAAGTTTATGGAGTTAAAACATTCCCAGACCATCTATCAGAAGTCTCTTTATTACCTTTCCTTTAGTCATCATCTAGACGACTATATAGCAGGAGGTCTAAATAACCTGTATTCATTGTAGACATGTCCCTATTTGTTCCCTGAGCAATGATTCTTTTCACCAAGATACTACGTCAAGACACATTCTTTTTCGGCTCTATTGTGTCTGCAACCTTGTGTGCAGTGAGTCAAAAATTTCGCGTGTGATCAAGAAAGACGCCTTTTCAGCAAAATATTGAAAATCGCTCTCTGCACTGACTGGGTTCATCTGGATGTTATTCGTTCACCCTTGGTACATATGAACTCAGTGTGAGTTTTATGTGTCGTATTGTAACTTGATCGACCTCCAAACCTGTTTACAACCAGTCGCTATTGACAATTTTAATATTCTGCGTGTCAAATTAAAGAAGATGGTCATGTAACTTGTACCAAGTTATGGTAACGTTTATTTCAGATACACGGAGCAAGGCAAACATACCGGTACACTCCTTTGGTGCACAAAAGATTTATTCTTAAATTCTCATTTTACGATCACAATTAAAGACTGTACTTTTAAATTTATCATGTCACGGTCCAATACCACAATATATCACGAAGATCCTCTGCTTCTTCCACTATCCATTCTAATCTTTACGTCAATCTATTAACAATCCTTTTTTTTTGTTACACGGTGCGAGATAAGTGTTCCTACACAGTATCTATTATTATTCGTTTTTCCTTTCCATAACCTACATAAACTGGATGATTCAGCAAAAATCACTTCTGTTTACTAGGTTAAAAAAGGCCGCAAATATTTGGCAGTAAAACGCGCATTTTTCGGGTGTCTACGGCTTCTTTATAAATTAAGGTCCAGTTGCACAAATCATAAGTATTTTAAAAAACGTTTCGTGACGTTTCACATTTTATTACGTATTGATTTCTTGACATCAGTTGATTGCGAGGCGCCTTATGCAAGGAAACAGTTTCATACATGTAAGTCGTGTTTATAGTTGGACTGACGAATATCCATAAAAAACAGATCAATGCTTTATTTAACTTGTTGACTCTTCCGTCTAATATACATCTACACTTGCTTGATGTCATTTTGTTTTAAGATTAAACTTTTTTATTTGACCAAGTCTAGAGGCGACTCAGATCGACTCAGACACAAGATTTAGAAACAAACATGGTTCTCAGATTAATAAATATTCTTTAATAATCTTTCTTGTGTGATCCCGTATAGACCGAGTGGATCACGGAGAGGACGGAGGACGTTTGGCACTCCATACATATCATTACTATTCTCATGTAAATCCCCCCTGTACACAATGGCGGGATCCAGGGCTGAGCCCCGCCCGCACCTGCCCCTCCCATCCCTCCCGTAGTGATTATACATGTACCATCCCCACACCCCCCATCTCACCGTAAAATGTTTGCTCATTAACAGCAACTTGTTTCCTACATATCATAGAAGAAATACTGCCTATGGTTTGGCTCGTTTCGCAATCACTTCTATCCTCGTTCCCTCAGCGTCGATCCACAGGTGTAATACTTACATTAAGAAACGCTGGACTCCTTATTAATTCTACGGCAGAGTTGCCTCTCTTCAAAGACGATGGTGAAGTTATTTTCTCAAGACAAAGGCCTGGCAGCGGCAGAAATACCCACACCTTACCACGGTGTGTAGAGGTGATAAAGAGAGAGTGACCGCGACCAGCTAGCCAAGCAGGCTTAGGAATTCATATGCATAGGGTTGCTATAGAAAGTGTATGCACACGCCTGGATGATCAAATAAAGGCACTGTTGACATTAGGTTCACCACAGGCCTGCGATCCCTTGCCAAACTATAACACCTTTACAGGTAGTCTCATTTAATATCATTTTTAGCGTAGATTTATCGCGTTTGATTTACAGCTATTAGATTGCTCAGTGCCTTCGCTGGGCAGAAAAAATGTGAAAATACCTGTCCAGGTGCCTGAGTTAGACAAATGTGTGCTTTTCCTCCGGCCAGATTAAAAATAAAAAACTTCATTAAGGATTTAAAAGATCAAGAACAATGTCAGACTACCTGTAGGTGGTATTTTCGCATCAAATTGAAGCAAAATTCATGTTAGATAACAACTACCTAGTACCTACCTTGTACGCTCTGTGTGTAAAGCTGAACTGAGAATTCGTTACAATGAAAAGATCAATATAACAAACAGCGCACGAGTGTTGACACAGGTACCGTGCAGCCCTGCCGAAGTTACACAATACCCTTCAGGGTCAAGAACTAGGTCGAGATGATGGGGTCATGGTTTGGGGGCGCTGGAGGGCTATGGGAATAACAATAGGCTAGGTGGAGCCGATCCCGGTGTAACAGGAATGGAAGGAACCGTAGTCCGCTTCCTATTACTTTGTACAGGTGACATTCGTCCAATATATTAACCCCAATACTCCAACTAACCCTAACCTCTGTTAATCATATGGGTCCCTGACTTCCAATTTCTAGGACTTCTATTCCTGTCACACCGTTACTAACTGACAGGCTTCCAAATCCCAACACAGTTATATACATGCAATTAAGACTACTACTGTTGTTGTTTTTGTTCTTCTTCTTCTTCTTCTTAATAATTATTATAGAAAACTAAAATAAAATATATGTAGTTGCAATTCAAACCGATTAATTTGTCTT